GCGTGGCTTGGCTGAGTTAGAGAGACACGGTTCTGATGGTTTGGTTATGGGCAAATAGGTTTCGAAGAGTTCTCGATGGTTTCTATCATGGCTTGGGATGGATATTTTTTACTGGCGTGAAGAACATGTTGCGTATTGTGATTTTCTCTTGGATGAGATCAAATGGAAGGTTTCTGACTGATCAGGCATGTATTCTGCTTGCGACTTAGAGTTAATTATGACATTCTTGTACGTTTCATATGATGGCATGATAGATGCAGTGTGTTATGTAGGATTGAGTTTTGCATGTGCAAGGTTATGGTTCATATATGGAGGGAAGGTCATGAATTTTGGACAACATGGATAGTTTAAAATATATAGATGAATGTTATAACTTCTTGGTAATTCCTGATAAGGGTGCGCATTTCAGAAGGCACACTGAGTGTTGATTTACGGATGCTTCATTGGTATTGCGGTACTCGCCTAGTTGATCGACTACTGATATTCAAATTTTGCTATGTGGCACGGAAGAATTATGGAAGTATTCCTCGTAGAATGATCATGTATGGGAGATGTGTTAGACATTCTGGCAGTGGAGTTGGGAGCAGATATGGTGATTCGTGTGTTTTATGAATTTGGAGACTGGGAGTTCTCAGAAGCAGATTGTTTCGTGGTTGTGGACTGAGAAGTTGTGGCCAAAGCTATCCAGATGATAGTATGTGTTATGATTCAGTCATTGTACACTTTCGAAGGGTTATTTATCTATTTGTGGGTGACCAGCGTTGAATTAGGGTCCATTGGTAGGCCCAATAAGGATGTGTATTCTACACCGGGTCAGATTGGTTGACTCTGTACTGCTGTTGTTGAGGGATGTGCCATTCGGTCAGAGTTAAGCGTATTCGTGTTCTGATATGTTCTATGAGTTTACCCTTCTATGCCACAGGGGGGGTTTGATTTGTTGGTGATAAGCACACATGGTGTGGTTCTATTTGGGTCTTGTAGCGGGATTTGAGCGAGATGGTTATTAGGGTGTCGAATGGTTGATTGAGCCTTGGTTATGTGCTCTCTGTACTGTGGTATATTGTTCTATTTGATTCTCCGTGGTTATGGTCATACACTTCGGGTATTTGATGTCGAATTGCGTGTAGTTGTTGGTTTTGAGCATAGTGGCTTGAGGTATTCCATATGGACCTGTGTCTGGATGGGGTCACGCATTGCAGTTGGGTTATGTCTGGATATGATCCTTTCTGTTAGATTCATATGTCTTGGTTCTACTATGTAAGATGGGTTTGTAACATTGCGGTTGAGGTGGTACTTGTTGAGCTTGCAAAACGGTTCTCTCATTGGAGTCATTTTCTATGTTTGAGTACATTTGAATTGTTGCGTATTAGTGCACGGATTGTACGATTTGTGGATCTGGGTAGTATTGGTGTGGCATGTCAGTAGAGTAGCTTGTATTTGATAAGATAGGGTCGTTGGACCTAGAATGGGTGTTATCAGATCTGATTGCGGTATATTTGGAAGGATAATATTGCTGACCGGCTTAGAAATTGGCTATAGTTCTTGTCGAAGGAAAGGGAGCTCCATGTCTTGTTGATCTGATAAGTTGTTATGAGTTTCTGCGTGTTTCTTCCATCATTGGCAGTGTACGATGTTTTAGAACAAGGTTTTGTTTGATACGAGGTTTATTACCAGTATCGGGTTTGCTTCGAGCAGTTATTATCGTCGAAAATTATTGCTATGGGTATTTGAGTTATGTGGTATATCATGTGATTGTATCTTGGGCTATGGTTATGGCTTGATACATCTTGTTCAGACTTATATAGTGTGTGCATGCGAGATTTGGGTCTTGTAGGGAATTCCGGATGTTGGAATTTGGGTTACAAGGTTTATGGGCTAAGGTTGGATTAAGGATCTTCAGTTTGGTGGTGTCGTCAAGCTTACATTAAATAGGGTGACGTAGGATCACCCCCGGGTATATGCATGGTAAGGTTACACGGCGGTTTGATGGCTTTAGAACGACTCTTGGCATGTTCGAGGACGAACGTATGTTTAAGTGGGGGAGGACGTAATGACCTGACCAGTCGTTTCGAGTATTTGCACTTTGCTTGGTAGTTTTAGGACATGAGTAACTCCGTATGATGAATTATGACTTATGTAAATCGTCGGTTTTTGTTTTCAAGTTAATCAGAATCGATTTGGAAGAATGTCATGATTTCAGCTTTAAGTTGGAAGAGTTGACCAAGTTTGACATTTGTGAATTTCACCCTAGAATGAAGTTTTGAGGGCTCTGTTAGGTCCGGATGGTGATTTTGGACTTGGGCGTATGTCCGAATTTATATTTGGATATTTCTAGAAGGATTCGACACTAATTGAGCTCTGATCCATGTTAGAAACCATGTCTAGGCTATATACTTATCTTGTTGAGACCCACTGAGATCATTTCTGCTGTTAGGTTATTTGCTTACATTGCAATTACATACTCAGTCATATGCATTCATTTGCATATCATATCTCAGTCTCTGTTACCATTTATTGATCATCACATCATTATTTTGGGCTGATTCCTATAACATTGTGAGTCCAAGAGACTGTAGAGATTGATGACTGAGAGAGGTCGAGGGCCTGATTGTGAGTGAGATTGATGGGATCTGGCTGCACGCCGCAACAGGTATTATTGATTTATGATGGGATCGGGATGCACGCCGCAGCATGTTTTATTTATGCCATGATCAGCTTGTTATAGCACGGGCTGAAGGAGCCCCTCCGGAGTCTGCACATACCCCAGTGAGCACAGGTACCTACTGAGTGCGAGTGTGAGTGCCGAGTGATTGGGAGGACTGAGTGACTATGAGGACTGAATGACTGGGAGGACTGAGTGAATTGATACTCTGAGAGTATGCATATGGTTTTATCACTGAGTTGCATTGCATTCGACAAGCACACTTGACATACATGCATAGAAATGCATTTTTCTTATGTTGTACGACATTGCGTCATTCATGACTTCACATACACATTGACATGTAGACATAGAGATGTACTTTCCTTATGCCATTTGAAAATGAAACATTTACCTGTCGAAAGTTTTGGAAAAAATTACAATTTTACAAACGTACTCATATTTTGGTGATTTCGATAAAAGATTTGGGTTTTCAGTGACATACTTGAAAAGCATGCCTATTTTCTGGAGCTGTGAACGAGCTGAGCACTATATCTCTAAGTTACTTCTTTTATCACTTTTATTATGTTGTTATGAATTGTTGTTGGCTATTGGTTATGGACTCCAACCTTTGTTCCAGCTCGTCACTACTTTCAACCTAAGGTTAGGTTTGTTACTTATTGAGTACATGGGGTCGGTTGTACTCATACTACACTTCTGCACCTTGCGTGCAGGTGTTGGATGTTGATGTTGTTGTGCACGGTGGGAGCTGGATTTGAAGATGTACCTGCGTTCCGGTTATAGATACCTCTTAATCTTGGTAGCTTTAGAATTTTAATCTGTTCATGTATATTTCAAACAGACGATGTACTTTATTTCATGCCAGTTTTGTAAATTCTAAATCTTAGAAGCTCATGTTTTGTACTACCAGTCCTTGGAAAATTCTTGTATAAAACAATTATATTTTCATTTCTTTTCTTAATACATGGTAAGCAACCTCCACTTCCAACCAAGAGGTTGTGAGTTCGAGTCACCCCAAGAGCAAGGTGGGGAGTTCTTGGAGGGAAGGATGCCGAGGGTCTATTGGAAACAGCCTCTCTACCTCATGGTAGGGGTAAGGTCTGCGTACACACTACCCTCCCCAGACCCCACTAGTGGCATTATACTGGGTTGTTGTTGTTGTTCTTAATACATATCATTTAAATTGGATAGTTATTAATTGGCTTACTTGACGTGTTGGGTTAGGTGCCATCACGACTAGATGAATTTTGGATCGTGACAAATATATATAGCAACTAAAGTTGCATATAATTGCACATAAAAAAGCTCTTGGGCGAACCTATTTTCACCTCATGATACCACGATGTGACTTACAAATAATGTGAACATAAATGATGATCATTATAAAAATAATATATAAGAATAAATGCACATTTTATTCCATATAATAAATGTTCACAACCACAGAATATTAAAAACCCCACTAAAATAAAGAATTAAAAGACTCTACAATAACCATATTTATAACATGACGTTTAAAATCATTGAGCCTGAGACCTTTAGTTAGTGGATCATCTAGCATTTCATCTGCACGAATATTCTAAATAGTAATGTCTCCTTGATTTACCAGCTCTCTGACTGTCAAAAACTTGATTTGCATATGTTTGGTGTTACTACACAGCTTATTATTCTTAGAAAAGAACACAGTTGCACTATTATCACTATAGATTATATGGGTCTTTGAATTGAGTCAACAACTCTGAGTTCTGAAATAAAATTTCGGAGCCAAACAGCTTAAGTGGATGCACTATAACAAGTCACGAACTCATCATACATTGTCAATGATGTGACCAACGTATGTTTAACGCTCTTCTAATGTACCACCAACAAGAGTGAAAACGTAACAAGATGCGGACTTATAATCATCTGTGCACCAACCAAAGTCAACATCCGAATAACCAACTATTTCAAAACTCAACACATTTGTAGATCAACATATAGTCTTTGGTATTTTGAAGATATCTCATGACCTTCTTGACTACGACCCAATGATCATGACCAGGATCGGACAAGTATCTGGTAAAGACGTTTACAGCAAAAGCTATGCCAGGTCTAATGCAAACCTGAGCATACATCAAACTGCCAATTGCCCTAGTATAAGGAATGTTTTTTATGGCTTCCCTTTCAATATCATTTTTAAGACATTGCTTCTTACTCGATTTGTTTCCCTTGACCACCGGTATATCTCCAGGCTTGTAAGATTGCATATTAAATTTGGAAAGAATACGATCCACATAGGACCTCTGAGACAACTTAAGAACATTACAAGATCTATCACAATGAATCTCGATGCCCAGAACAAAAGAATCATCTCCAAGTTCTTTCATCTCAAAGCGTCTTTACAAGAATTGTATGGTTTAAAAAAGCAATCCATAATAATTGCTGTCTAGTAGAATATCATCAACATAGAGGATAAGAAAAATGAATCTGCTCCCACTACTATTCAAATAGATACATTCATCAAACTTGTTCTCTACAAAACTAAATGATGTCATAACACTATCAAATTTCAAATACCAATGACGAGAAGCTTGATTCAGACCATATATAGACATCTTTAACATACAAACTAAGTGTTCCTTTCCACTTTCGATGAAACATTCAGGATGTTTCATATAAATCTTCTCAGACAACTCTCTATTTAGAAAGGTTGTCTTAACATCCATCTGGTGTAGCTCGAGGTTAAAATGAGTCACCAATGCCATGATAATTTTGAGACCATATTTAGTGGATAAAAGAGAAAAAGTCTAATTATAATCAATTTCTTCTTTCTAAGTAAAATCCTTTGCAACCAACCGAGCCTTAAATCGATCAATATTTCCATGACTATCTTTCTTGGTCTTGTAAACCCATTTGCAACTTATTGATTTGTTCCCACTCAGTAACTCAATAATATTCTAGACACCATTGTCATTCATGGACTTTATCTCATCTTTGATAACAATAAGCCATTTTTCAGATTCATGACTATTAACAGCTTGATTATATGTTGCAGGATCTTCAATTTGGCCAATATCATAATCAGTATCACCTAAATATACTTGATAGTCAGTAGAAATAGCTGATCTCCTCTCTCTTTGTGATCTATGAAGCGAATTATCATTAGCTTGAATATTCTCATCTTCTATCACCATAGGGTCAATATCATGTGCACTGCTTCCTCTTGGCTCATTAGACTCAGAGTTACTTCCATAAGCAAAATCAGTCTCCAAAAATTTAGTAGTCCATGATTCAACAATTCTAGTGCCACGAGAGGGACAATAAAATATGTACCCTTTTAAATGATCTGGGTATCTCATGAAATAACATCAAATAGTCCTAGGATCGGTATTATTTTGCAGCGAATCAAATATGTTAACTTCTGCAGGACATCCCCAAACTCGAAAATGATTCAAACTTTATTTTCTACCAGTCCATAGCTCAAAAGGAGTCTTAGGAACAACTTTACTCGGAACTCGATTCAGGATATATGTAGCAGCCTTAATAGCTTCACCACTAAAGGAATTCTGGTATATTGGTCCGACTCATCATGTTTCTTTTCATTTCCATCAATGTGTTACGCCTTTCCACCACACCATTTTGCTCAAGATCTGCGGGCATGGTTACTTGGCCAATGATTCCATTATTGTGAAGATATTTAGCAAATGGTTCAGGCGTTGACCAGTTTCTGTGTATCTTCCATAATACTCCCCACCATGATCAGATCTCGCAATCTTGATAGCTTTTCCCAATTGCTTCTCAACTTCAGCACGAAATATTTTGAAAACATCACGAGAATCAGATTTTTCTTTAATTAAATAAATGTAGCAATAGTGAGAATAATCATCGATAAAAGATGAACAAACATGATATTAAGACACAAAATAAATGAAGATTAGCAAGAACGATTGCGTACCTGTTTGAGCTATATTGCGGATTGACGACAGGCTAGGTCTTCCTCTCTATTACCCTTTCTCCAATATGGCAGCGTCAATGAGACATCTACCACATACAATAAATATTATGAAATAACTCTGACTATGTGTTTATATAAGGGCTAGAGAGGAGACCTAATTGTAACTAATAAAACCCTGATGGGCCCTCCCATTATGGGCATCATCGGGTTGAGCCTACACTCACCAAAGTGCACTAATGAAGCACATAAAGTGCACGTACCAATAACCAATTATCACACTTATAATTGGGCTCACGTTTATGGACTATTATCCAACCTGGATATTAAAATATAAATAATATATTTAATAATGTAAGGCCATTTTTCTTTCGCAATCTATTTATTACAAAGAAATTTCTTTTTATCCTTTGCACAGTATAATTCTCTACGAAGTAAATTTAGTTAAAATCCCTTCCCTCTTCTGAATTTTTCATTAGCCTATAGGTTTCTAACAAGACTAAAGACTCATGGCTAACATAAAATACAAATTATGTGATTAAATCTTAATTTCAACCAATAAATATCACCTATATCCGTCTTTTTCTTTTATTGTACTCTATTTTCACCAAGTTTGAATTTGTAATCCGTCTGTTTCTGGTTCTTATTCTTTCATTTATGGTGCAGCTCTCTTTGAAAAGTTTACATTGACCCGCGTTTTCTGCTATTCTGAATGTCATGTTGTGCATTTGTCACGGGCGCATTTCAAAATTTGGAATTAGACTTCATAGTCAGTGCTTTACTTATCACTCTCTCATTAACTAACTGTTTCTTATTTTTTTTTTCTTTTACAACTACGCTGTCCACATTCAATGTTGCATTCACGTTTGACTTTCTTACTGAATGGAAAGTTTAGTTTTTGTTCCACTTTTGTCACTATACAATAGATGTTACGTCGATCAGCCAAGTTAATAGAAAACGTTTATAGTCCTTACCTTATTTTGAGTGATCAGCCATAGAGGGATTCCAATTGAAATATAAAATTTACATACAGTTGTTTTTATATTCTTAGCAGTGTTTTAAAAGGCGTGAGCGTAAGTCGGGGTATTTTACATATGCCTCAGCGGAGCGTAAGCCCCATAGGTATTTAATTTTTAATATTTTATAAAATAATATAATGACAGTTAATATTTATAAACAGGTAAAATTGCATAAAAATTAAAGAAAACTATATATATGTGTGCTCCATCCCCACAAAAACTAATCAAAACAATCTATTATACGTTACTTACAAGCACAAGTAATTTGAGTCTAAAAGAATAAAGTTTTCTATATGGAGGAACAAAAAGGATGATTAACCTGCAATTTGAACTTTGAATTTGCTGCTATAAAGAAAAATATAGTTCTCTTTGTATTTGTAAAAAAATTAAATATTCATTGCTTTTGGGAGATATTAGCAGACTAGCGGACAAGATAAAAAATTAGAAAAATCATGAATTAGGGCTTAAATCAATAAAAAAGGTCTTTACTTTTAAATTTAATACTTTTGAATTCTTTTTTAAACCTTTTGAGTAATTACCAAACTGACTTTTGAGAATTTGGGTATTATATGAAAGACTAATTCAACAAATTTTGTTTTAATTTGAAAAAGTCTCTGGGGCTTACTCCTTACTAAAAAAACGTGCCCCGAACGCCCGGGGGTACGCCCCAAATTGCGGGGCGTACGCCTCTTGAGACTTTCGCCCCACACCATCGCCCCGGGACGTTTTTGGTACGCCTCGCCCCGGAGCTCGCACCAGAAATGCCTTTTAAAACAGAGATTCTTAGTAGTATATCTATTGTGGTATATTACCTATAAATTACGTGGTGTAGGAGAATTAGGATTAGAGTACTTTGGTCAGCCTAAAAAGGGAAATGGGAAAAAGAAAAGAAAAAAAAAAGGCACTTAAGTCTAAATTCTAAATGTTGAAATAGTGGCCACTAAAAGAAATGTTTATTTTTCTTTTCCTTAATTTTCTCTAAAAGCTAAAGAATTCTTAACCCTTCATCCCTTTTGATTGGAAATCGTTCCCCCTTTACATGAACTCAATTTTCATTTTATTTGGAAAAAAATCACCTCATTCTCCACTATTTCTTTGCCATTTGATCCAGTAATATTTGATAAATACGGATAATTTTCAGATTGAGTATCAGAACGAAAAAATCAATTAGATGATAATGGGTTGGTTCTAGAATATTGTCCCCATATTTTTTGGCCCAGTTTCGAAAAAAATGATTCAAGAATGCAAAAGGGAGCCTATTCATTCGAGGAAAATGGGAATGCACATTTGCTTGAAATATTTTCCATTCCTTAACGAGGAATTTAGAGTCACATGGACTTGCTTGACAATGTGCGTTCATTATTCATTATTTGGACGCTTAGGAATAAGAAATCGTGGAAATTATTGACCCAAAGCAACCAATTTTTAACGTTACATGTTCCAACCACATCCACTTGTGTCTTTCCTATTCCCTTCTCCCCCTAATCATGTGTGGCATCAAGACGCCCAATACCCTTTAATTTACCCAAAGGCACCACTTCTCCACATTCCTTTAAAATCTTCCCTATAAAACCCACCTATCCTAAAATATCCACCAACACACTCTTCTACATTTGCTCAAATAATGGCCTCTCATTTACACATCTTTCTTGCCTCCCTTGTTGTTCTTCTCTTCATCTCACCTTCCACATCTCTAACTTGCTCATCTCAAACATTTTCCAGCAACACCAAATTCACCAATTGTACTGATCTTCCTGCTCTCAAATCTTTCCTCCACTGGACCTTTGACCCCACCAAATCCACCCTATCTGTTGCCTATATTGCTTCTCCAGCTTCCCCTGATGGTTGGATTGCTTGGGGTCTCAACCCCTCTGCCCCAGCTATGGTTGGCACGCAATCCCTTATAGCATTCAAAGATCCCAAAGGGGCCATGGTTGTAAAGACTTACAACCTTACTTCTTACAAATCAATTACAGAGTCTAAGCTTTTGTACAATGTGTTGGATTCGAAAGCAGAGTCATCTAATGGGACCATGAAAATCTTTGCCACGTTGGAGTTGCCGGAAAATACAACGACGGTGAATCAAGTATGGCAGGTGGGGCCTGCGGTGAAAGATGGAAAGCCGGTGGTACATAAGTTTGATACTGAAAATTTGGCATCTAAAGCTACTCTGGATTTGGCTGCTACTTCTTCTGGAGGTGAAGGGAATAAGAATGCTGGTTCCTCTGCTAGTAGTAATAATAGTAGTAGCCAAAGTGGAAATGAGAGTGGAGGATCTTCAAGTATTTTGAAGAGTGAAAATGGTTTTTTTCCCTTCTTGTTCTTCCTCGGAGTTGTGCTTTTGCAGCTTTAGATATGAATAAGTTTAATTTTGTCTTTTTTTGTTGGTTGTTTTTTGTTTTGGCAATGTAATAACGACTGTTAGTGGTAGTGAAAAAGAAAACCAGTCTACGGATATTCCACATTTATGTTTAATTGTATACTACATTTTATTATAATGTTCCTAGCTCTTTTATTCTAACCTGCTCGTTCTCTGTGCCTTTTAATGTGTGGAAACTGTGATTCCATATTTTAAAGTCAAAATTTTCATGAAATAATAACAAATCTACAAGAATAATTAAAATACTAAAACCAATTTGGTAGTCCGTCTATTCCATTTTATTTGGTATTCTTTTCTTCCTAGTTTGTCTCGAAAAAAAAGAAACATTTTTTTACGTAAAAACCCGATCCTTTAATTTTACACTTTTCATTTTACTTTAGTAACATGTTTTTACGATCCAAACAAGAAGAAGTTGTAACTACGGTAATACCAAAAGGAGATAGAAGTGGTGATCGGTATGGCCCATAATTTAATTTCAGCTACCGAGGGGAAGAAATAATGATACTCTATACCTTCCGTTTCCCCTTTCTACTTTAGTTCCTCATTAACTATTGTAACTTCATTTTTTAGTTAATGCTTGTAGTATCAACAAAAATTTTTGCAGTGAGAAGAAACAAAAAAATCAAAGATGGATCGACTAGTAAAAGAAAATAAACATAAATTAATCATTTAAATTTCTGAATATGATGTTACTAGATTCTTTTTTTTTTTTTTCGATGCGAAAGTAGGGAGAAACGACAAGAGTACTAGTATTACCGGTTGGGCCCCAAACCTTATTTTACAATGTATGATAAGTATTTTTGTTTTTGTTTTTTGGGTTTAATCATCCGGTATCTCGATTAATCCGGATTTATGGAATAGTGAAGAGCTCCTTATCAAAATACGTTCTTCATTCTTAGAAATCAAGTTTGAAATATCTGATTAAAGATGGAAATATGTCACCCATTCGCTGCACTCCTTTATGGTAAGATAGGTGTTGTATTAATTAGATCTTACCAACTCAATCGTCTACTTTACAAAATATATGGTGGTTATATCAGTTGAGATGGAGTTATAAATAGTCCATTTGTATGAGATCTTCTTTTTCTTTTAAAAGAAAGAGGCATCTTAAAGTTAATCTTTCCGCCACATGAAAAAGAGAAAGAAAAAGGAAAAGTAAAGTAATGGTATAACGCTTCTTTTACGGAAAAGAGCAAAACGAAGAATCACAAGACCCAATTATGTCCTAATTTTCTCGATCAATATCGAAATTGTGACGACGCGTTATGTATTTGTACATTATACTAATTAATTATTTTATGACGTAGACTACGTTGATGCAGCGAGTGCTTCCATTTACAACACCCTGTCAACCTGATAGAGTACTATTGAATCATGTGGCCTTGAACCTTTTATTCATGTATAACTCTCCGGAGGTCAAGCAGTTTCACATTCTGTAATTTTGCACTTTTGTGGATGTGCATATCATTGCATAATCTTTGAACAACTTTTAAATACACGATAAAGTATTGTAAGTGATAGAGTGATGCTGTTACACTTAATTGATATTATATTCAACCTTTCGTGCTCTAATTCGTAAATAAAAATAAGTTCTAGATTGCATTCCAAGTTACTTAAGAACTGAAATAGAAAAGGAAAAACTGAAAATACCTTTGATTTTGACTTTAGAGTTTAGATACACTTGCAATTTAAGTGGACAAATAATTAAGTTAAA